AAGCGTCCTCTGGTTGTCCCTTTCTCATCAGTCGGTCTCAATTCTAGCGTCGCCTTCTCAAAAAGCTTCCCTGATCACCTTGCTAAAGCAGCCTTCTCAGCCACTCTATCACATTTACCTCGTTTTACCTTTTTGTAGCCAGTATCAGTAGAAGTTGCTTTATTTTTTTTTAATGTAGTTGTGTGTTCATTCGGATTGTTTTTGTAATGGTTTGTTGTCTCTATCTTCCTTATGGAAAGAGATCTGTTGTGTTCAATGCTGGGTTCCAGAGACTAGAACAGTACCTGACATTAACTATCCTCAAACTATACTGAAGATTGATTAGTTCTATATATACTCAAATCTTCTCTCCAGAGAGATTAGAAAAAGGAGAACAAGTGAGAGTCATAGAAGTCCAACTGATGGTATCAAAGAAGACAAAGAACCATTCACCATGAGGCTTACTCTGTACTCTTATTTTGCTCCTCCAGTCTCTTCAATATCTGACAAATGTCTGTCATGGATGCCTGCCTTGAAGACACCACAATTCTTTCCAGGGGGCCATTTTCCATGCTCCAAGCTGCCAATTGATGGTGGTCCACAGTGGTATCATGCTCCATTCACAGGTGAGCAGATATCTCTCTTCTCTCTCTGCATCAGGCTTTATTCCCCAACCATCAGTGGACAGGTCACCTATTTTGTGCTCGTCTTCATTTCTTACTATGTAAAAGGAGTACAATTGTACTATATCTCAATGAAGATCATAAAGTTAGAACTTAGCTTTTCCTTTGAAGATCAAGACATCCAAAATAGCTATTAATAACTATCTGGCAAATTGGTGAATGTGTTTTCCTATCTGAAATACTAAATAATCTTTAATTAATCTTTCCATGTTTTCCTCATCATTCAATTAAGCATAATGTTCTGGCTGGTACAGAAAATGCTTGTTTACAAAGAAAAGCTAATTCAGAAAATGGACTATAACAAGGGAGTCTTACACTGTCTAGATCTTTTTAATCCACTTTTATCCACAGGTAAAAGCCTGCTCTTTATCACGGCTTTGGTGATAAGGAAGTAATTGATGAGCCTAATCAACTATTCTCAGGTGATTTATGGAGAGTTGCGATATTACAGTTTTACAGGGAGCATGGATATTCTAATCTACTTTTAAGATGGTATTTTTTTCCCTAAGAACTTTGGTGAAGTCTTCAGATGATCAGTCTGGGCTTTCAGAACCTAAATCACCCTCCAAATTCAAGGTGGATACATTTGGATATGTCGTAATCTACTTGACATGACCAATTATTAATTTGTTCTAATAATGAACAATGGCTTTATTTGAGTTTCTGTCAGTTTATTATATAAAATGTAAAGTGCATGATACAGAAAGAATTTGACTGGTATCCTACCAACAATGGATAAGATCTGGCATCCATGCTATTCTTTTGAGTAGTGATGGCAACCTAACATGGCTCTCATCAACAGCAGCGGCACAAGAATTAAACTCCTAATAAAATATCAGAAATTCTACTTGTCTTCTTTGATTTGGAGAAATAATTTTGGGCCAGTTACTTATAATAACAAAATCACAATATAAATTCAATAATTATGACCAAGGTTTTAGTAAATCAAATAAAATAGAAAAAAATGTTAATATTTCAGGTGATACTTTAGCTTGATTATTATATGTGTATGATACTTGATTTGATGTAGCATGCAAGATTTGGCTTTCAAAATAAATCATTTCAAAATTTTTCTTAATCTTAAAACTCCTAAAAAAGAATGAGATAGTTCCTAAAAGAGCTTTAATATAATCACAAGTAAAATACTATTAGGAGAAAAAAATCAGTGACATTTAAAGCTAATTTCTCTGAATTAGGAAATACATTCTTAAGTATAAAAAGTAATTTAATTGTATGACTAGGAGAGACCAAAACTGTCTATATATATATATGTGTGTGTGTGTGTGTATATATGTATATATGTATATATATGTATACATACGTGTATATATGTATATATGTATACATATGTATATATATACATATATATACACACACATATATGCATATATATGTATATATATGCATGTATATATATACTAACAAATCAATGCTTTTTCACAAAAATGTGTTCTAAAATGACTTAAATTTAAAGTTAATATTTAACCTTTAAATAATCAATCTAAATGTACAACAGTAAAATAGTTAAACTAATTATGCTATATTAACATTAAAGGATATCTATGGCCATTAAAAACTGTCCTGAAGTAATTTTTATGACACGAGAAAATGTTAGATTAGAAAGCATGAAAAGTAAGTATATCTTATGATCCAAAATATTTGAGTCTGTTTATGTATGTGTGTGAATCTGAAAAAAATAAAAACACTGAAATGTTAATAGAAGTTATTCTGGGGGTAGAATAATGAGATCCTTATACTGTTTTATTCTATTAAAAATTTTTAAATTTTCTGTGATGAACAGGTAACACTACTATCAGTTTTTAAAATAACCATAAGAATTTGTGTGAACACTTCTTGATGTATAGGAAGATGTGCGTTATATAATATCTAAGTTCCCAGAGGAGGTCAGATATTTCATGTGCACATTTTTCCATTATTCATAATTCTAAGTTTTTAAGACTCATTCTGAAAAAGGCAGCTGGACCATCCAAGACCAAGTATCTAAGGTGATCTATTACAAGAGAACTTTGAGAAAAAGAAGTCTCAGGTAAGTGCTTGAGAACTGCTGTCACCATCATATATAATGGCATTTCCTTCTTGTACAAAGTAGATGTGAATAAAGACTATGACAACAGTTTATTTTAAAAACTTATGTTTAATTCTCAATGTTTCTTTGAAAAACTCAAGTGCACATCTGCATTGAAAACTGAGAACACCTGCCAACCTCATTAATCTCTTGTGTTTTGAAGCCTGTTTACTTATTCTTCTGGTTCTGTTTCCTTACAAATAAATTGTGGAGACATTTTGACCTTTGTAAACCAAACAAGGCAAAAAGTTATAACTGGATATTATCCAGGCTCATATTTTTGACTCAAGGGAAGCAATAAAAGTCATCAGACTCTCATCGTACACTCATCAGTTTCCTATTGGAAACACTCTCTTGGTTTTCCATACAAGAACTTCGTTTTCCATTGTAGCTAAACTTTGTTTGCATTATATTCTCTACGTATGTGATGCCAATTCTGAGGTTCAGGGTTATTTGTGTCCTGCCAAAAATCTTAACTTTGGAAGATGGCTGCAAAAGACAAGGACGGTATCTGAATTTTGCTTGATATAGCACTTGGTAGAGAATAAGAGAGAAAAATCTCTTTTCCAATTTCTGATAGTGTACTGTAATATCTTTGTCATTTTAAAGAAAGGTACAGTCTTGCCATGAATGGGAAGGTATTAATGATTTTGTTCAATTCCAAAACAGCTTTGCAAGTTCTAGTATCATTCTGAAAGGTGCTGGAAACCAAGGAGATCAATATGGCAAGCAAGGCAAAATGGTGGGAGAAAATCTAGAGAGCAAGTGATACTTGTGATGCTTAATGTTTGATAAACATTTGACACAAAGGGTTTGATAAGTATTTTTCAAATGGGTGAAGTTTCATCATGGTTCCTGATGACCGTGCATCCAGTGTGGTTCCAGTGTTTATTATCAGCCCGCTGCCCCACAATCTATACATACTCTTTTAAGAATGGGCTGGAAAAGCAAAATGTAATAGTTCAAGTTTCATCTAAATTGACTGAGTTAAAGGCAGAGCTCCAGTTTACAAAGGGCCCTGGAGTGCCAAGCAGGGAAACTGATACAAAATCTCTTCAGATCAACTCATCCACTGAGGAACGAAGACAACAAAGGCTGTACCTCCTAGGCAACCAGGGGAACTATACCTCGCCATACAATAAGACTTGAGTCACCAACACATTTCTAGACTTGGTCAGGATGAAGTATGGCTCTGGTATGTTGGGATCCATCAGGATTAAAAAAAAAAAAAAACATAGTTCAGGTCAAAGTTTTGTTAATATAAACCCCTCGATATAGTTAAAGCTATGTGTTTTTCTCGGAAGCCAAAGGAGATAACACAAAGAATGTGTTGAACTGTAGTTTGCGGTTTTTCAAATAGATGGGAAAGCTCTTCAGATAAGTAAATTTGGTTGGGGCATATATTTTTCAGAATTTATTTCTTATTCGTCTCAGAAAGATAAAAGGTAAAGTTCAGTTTGTTTGTTAGTTTGCTTTCTAAATTTTTCCTATGATTCTGACATTAGATATGGAAAAATACGACACAGAAATAAACCACAGCAATTAGAGTCCTTCCAGTGCAAGGCTATTTTCTGAATAGTTGTAAAAAAGCTTTGGAAGTGACATTCACAGTTTCAGATATGTGTCCATGTAGCAGTCTGAGAATATTCTTTTATTATTATTATTATTATTATTATTATTATTATTATTATATGGTGACAGGTGACATTGGTTAATGAAATCCAATAAGTTTCAGGTGTTCAATTTAACAGTAAGGCACATTTATATTGTATTGTGTGTTTACTGCCCATAGTTAGATTTCTTTCTGTCTGGGAATATTTTCAGAAGTTCTCTGGAAACTGAGAGTTAAAATTTCAAAAAATGCTTAACTTAAATCAGGTTGGTATTTATGTGCAATAAAAATCCAACTTATTTTTAATGTATAGGAAGACCGAAACTTAGCATATCATGTCTGAATACATATACTATGAGCATTTGTTCAAAAAGTACATTGTCTTTAGGAGATGAAGTTCTCGGGGGACATTGTGTCACCTCTCATCATCATCCTCCTTATAAAGTAGATCAAGAGCAAGGGAGTGTAATTCACATTGTAAATTTGGCAACACATATAAACGATCCTCTAATCTTATACTACACAGTATAGAAATGATCCAAGTAGAAATAAGCACTAGCTTTATTTACTCATCTTCATTATAATTGAATGAGACAATAAAGTCAGCATATCGATAGATAATTCCATTTTTTACATCATCATAATATGTTCATGCAGATAACAGAAGTCTTTGTTTCACAGTGCAACTGCTGAAAGTTAAATTGATTCAATTTAATTAATAAGCATTTATTCAGTGCCTACCTGTGCACAGCACTATACTAGGCATACAAGAGTTAGAAGAGATGATTCCTGCTCATAGAAAGCTTAAAATCTGGATAGGAATAGTCCATGCATACAAGAAAAAAAAAGAATGATTAAAAGTTGCAAGGAAATCAATAAAATAATAAACTCAAAGACTATCAAGGCAGTGATACAATTAGAAATGAAGGCTAATCTGGCAAATTTGACCAGAGAACGTAAGTCTTGAATTTGATATGATGAAAGTGAATAGCACATGGATTGTCAGCGAAACAGGGTAATCATTCTATGGTCAGTAGAAGATCGAAAAGAACGAGAAACTCAAAGACAAGTCAGTAAAAATCAGCAAGTCATTTTCAGGGAATGGCAGGCAAATTGGCTTACCTCTGGAAAAGGACACTGAGTTAGATGTAACTGAAGATACACAATGAGGCTGGCTAAAGGCATTAATTGTTACTATTCAAAGTCAATTTAAACTTTAAATAAATATTAATGCTTAAACACATCTATGAACTGAAGCTCCCCGCAAACACACACCAAAAGAAAGGGTGTGTTTTCCTAACCTTAACAAAAAACAAGCAAACAAAAATTATAGAATATAGAATCTAAACTCAGGACATATAATCATTGGAGGTCAAATAATCAGACTGTGATGAAATAGCAATCACTTATGGTGTCATTTTTTTTTAAAAAGCTTCATAAAGACTAAGGTTGTCTAAGACCCATGTACATCCCCAAAGACAGAGACCTTCAACTCTATGCTGATCAGGCTCCTAATTCACTTAGGATATTTCTTCTGAAAAACCCATCTTATTTCATACTAAATTCAGCAGCAAATAAAAAGACCTTGGGTATTTATTTGTTGAGGTCATGGATGGGGAGACAGGTAGAAAAAAAGAAAAAACAGGGTGTTGGTTTCAAAAAGTGAGGTAATAAATGTTTATAATGAATACTTTATGAAGATATTTCTTAACTTGGAAAAAAGAGGGCAAAGTAGTCCTGCTCCCATGCCAAGAAAATGAGGCAGAAAAAGTATATAAAATGAAAGTCCATAATGAGCAAAAGGTTTTTAAATTAACCTATTCAGTAAACCAGAAACCTGTATTGATGAATCACACCCTCTTTTAAACTCAGTTCATTAAGAGAAAAATGTCAAGAAAATGAGTGTGGGGAGCAAATGGATTTAGGGGAACAAATCCTTAATTTGGATAAGGTGGAAATCTTCTTGTGGAACTAGGACTGGTGATGACTTATTGACCAGTATGACTTCGATGATCCATCAGGGTTAGAATGGGGAAACAGCAACTCCATAATATGCTTGTTCTCTGGGCCTTCACATGAGTCATTGCTTTAAAACAGCAAGGCGAGGAGTACTTCTGAGCCCCCAGCATATCTATGAAAGTTACTGGCCACCAGCAGCTGCAGCTGTTCAAAATGAATGAATGAATGAATGAATGAATGAATAAATAAAAGAAGATAAAGAAGCAAATAAAAATCGTGCTTTCAGTGTGCTTAATTGTTCTGAATGAGATACCCTGAAATCTGTATTTTCCAACTGTGTTCTACATTGAGTTTTTATATTCAAAATATCTAAAGAGGAATTAATATTGATCCTTCTCAAAAAACTGAAAAGGAAGCTAACACTTCCAAACTCATTTTTCAAGGCCAGCATTACTCTGATACCAAAGCCAGACAAGGATATCACAACAAAGAAAATTACAGGCCAATATCCCTGATGAATATAGATGTAAGAATCCTCAACAAAATATAAGCAAACTGAACCCAACGGTAAATTAAAAGGATCATACACCACGATCAAGTGGGATTTACTTCTGGGATACAAAGATGGCTCAATAAATTGATAAATAAATATTGCAAATCAATAAATGTGATACACCACATTAACAAAATGAAGGATAAAAATCATATGATCACCTCAACAGATGCAGAGAAAGCATTTGACAAAATTTAACATCCTTTCATGATAAAAACTCTCAACAAATTAGGTATGGAAGGAACATACCTCACATAATAAAAGCCCTATATGACAAGTCCACTGCTCATGTTATATCCAATGGTGAAAAGTTGAAAGTTTTTCCTCTAGGATCAGGAATAAGACAAGGGTCCCTGCTCTCACCACTTTTACTTAGCATAGTACTAGGAGTCCTAGCCAGAGCATTTAGGATAGTAAAGGAAATAAAAGGCATCCAAATCAGAAAAGAATTAAAATTGTCTCTGTTTCTAGGTGACATAATATTATATATAGAAAACCCTAAAGACTCCACCAAAAACATACCACTCTCCTGTTCAGTTGTGAGGACTAACAGATTTCTTTTCTACTTAAACTAATTTGATTTGAGTTTTATTATTATTATTATTATTATTATTACTACTTCTACTTACAGAGAGAGGGAAAAAGCCACATGAACATAAGGATTTTTAAGTTAAGAAGGAGGGAAAAATGGGAAAAGATTTTCAGTGAACTTCTTAGGCCTCACTTTTCACATGGAATGCAAAGCATAGCAGTAATTTTGGCAACTAAAATATTCCTGATTCTAATATTTTAAAAATTAATGAGATTAGAAAGAAAGAAAAGTTAATGAATCAGAAAGGCTTTGACCACCCACAGTGGTGACCCTCATGGGATCTTCTCAGTGTATCTTTTTATGTATAAAAATGGTTAAAATGGGCAGGAGAGTCTGCATTTGTATCTGCTATTTGTATATGACTATTTTTTTTTAATCTTTCGTTGATTTGCAAGATCACTTTTCTATCACAACTGCTAAGTTTACATTCCTGATTTCTTTGGTTGTCTTTTCTTTCTCCCACTGGAAAACAACTCAAGCCTCTGGATATGATGCTTGAGAAGGGCTAAAGAGTTCGACAACAGGAATGTGGAATGATTTGCTTCGGGTCATAATGCCAGTCTGCATCAAATGCCTCATTTGGAGAAAAATAAAAAGGAAGAGCATACTGTTTGTAGGGGTTAAAACTGCAAACATAAACATATCTCCAACCTGCTCGTGCAGCTGCCATTTTCTTGTTTCGCAGTTTGTTCTCCAAAGCTTGCTACACCATGAAAAAAGCACAGAAGAACATGAGATGCCCTGGTGTTTGCAACTACTTGACATTAATAAAGAAACTATTTCTATGAAATACACTGTATCCTACCTGTTTCATCTTCTTTTTTAGATCCAGGTTTGCCGCCTTCTGGCCTTTTGCAGTAGCGTTAAGATAATAGATGGTCAAACTAAATGTAAAGAAATAATAAAATTTATGGCATTTTCCAGTTCAAGATTCATCTTAAACTCACATTCACTAAACCATTGAATGAATGGTGGCTCTGGAGTAGACTTCAAGATGTTTTCTACTCGAAACCCCTCAATTTGTAGATAGAAGACTCAGTCGGATACAGAGAGGTAAAGAAGCAACTCAGTTATACAGTGACCAGGTGCAGACCTGAGAGGCTGGGCCCCAAGGCTCTGCCTCCACAGCCAGGGACTCTGTCTATTACACTCCATTGCCTAATTTTAGCTTCTTCTTGGAAATATATTAACATCAGTTTAAATTATAATTAAAATTAACATTTTAAATTGATGCCAATGGCATCCATGAGAATGGAATATCTACTGAAGCTTAGGGAATGTGTCGAATAAAAAGGAAACTAACTTTCTGCCTTAAATTCCCTACTTTGGCTTTTACAACTAAGAATATAATCCTATTCATAGCCATAGTTAATTAACATGAATTTTTTTCCATAGGATGTATGGTTTGCATTTCTCCCTTCTTCAAAAAGAAAATGGTTTATAAAGGAATATTCTTGGCTTTCAAGTGACATTTACATTTCTAGAAAGAGCAAATTCCAGCCAAACATTTCTGCAAAAGCCAATATGCTCATCTTCACTTAAAGCAAAACAAATAAACAAAGAAAGAAAATATACAGTTAAAAAAAAAAAGGTAACTGGCATTGCTCTTTCTTGCAATAACTAGATACTGAACACATTTCCTCTACTCACTAAATGCCCGATTAATATTCAGTTAAAAAAAAAAGGTAACTGGCATTGCTCTTTCTTGCAAATAACTAGATACTGAACACATTTCCTCTACTCACTAACATGCCAGATTATATCCTTTATGAGCCATCTGCTGCTAGCAACAGAACTATTGACATGGTTTAGTTGGGTTTGTTTAGCTCTTATATGAGTGGCAGGAGTTTAAATGAAATTACATACACGAAAGCATCTGGTACAATATCTAGCATGAAGTAGGTGCTCAATTAATGTGTGTGTGTGTGTGTGTGTGAGTGTGTGTGTGTGTGTGTGTGTGTGTGTGTGTGTGTGTGTGTGTGAGATGAGAATTTTTCTTAGAAAAATGCCTGGGTTTGGAGGATGAACTCAAAGACCTCACAAGTCATTTGCAATTCTGAAATTCTCTATTTATCCAACACTTTTTTTTCCTGCCTGGTGATGCACCTTAAATGAATATTCCTTATAAATCATTTTTTAGACTCTAAAGAAATAAAACTGCCTGCAGAGAACTATCCTAAGCTCTACTCGGTTATCAAAAGCCATCTAAGCTGATGTAATATGGCCCATTGGGGAAATTCAAAATGCTTGCAACATGTAACATTCTCTAATTAAAGGTAATAAAAAGCCAAGCCAACTGTATAGGTTCCATAAAGTGGAAGATGAGACCTCGGGATTTGAAAAATTAAATCAGTGATGAACTGGAATTTAGGTTTTAAATCAGAACCTCAGAACCAAAGTCAACTCTGCAGTACATCTATTTGACTTTTACCCTGTCAGCCTTCCCCTTGACAGTCTACATCGGGAGTCGGCAAACCTGACTCCTGGCTTGTTTTGTCGGGCCCATGAACTAAGAATAGTTTTTATACTTTGAAATGATTACATAAGTACTAACATAATATCCTCATTTTTGCCTCTGGTCTTTTAAGAAAAGTGGGCTCATCCTGGTTGTAGACCATCTCTGACAAGTGGCTTCCAGCCCTTCTGAACATGCCTACTCATTCTGAACTCGGGGTGTGGTGCTGCCAATGAGTGGGGGGAAGTTAAAGGTGAGAAATAAGAAGATGCGAATTTGAATTCACTTATTAGCCATTTGATTTGGGGCAGACCTTCCCTGTGCTATCAGCGAGGCCAACATCTTACTGTGGAAATTAAATGAGTTACTATATCGATAGTGCCTGGAACAAAGGCAGCGTTAACCCCTCGGCCACAATCCCACGATGGTTTATTAAATCTTTAATTAATGGCATTAGTACAATGTTGTTCCTTTGCTTAAAAATAAATGTCTCTCGATAAGTTAAGAATATAGTCATAAAATCTGATTATCGTTTTGTGTTTCCTTTTTTAAACAAGATCTCATTTATACTACTGGAGGTCCTAGGCATTTAAAAGTCACTCTTAACATGCTCTCAGAAGCTGCTATATCATAAAAACATGGAGATTGCAAGTCACTTTAAGGGCCATCTGGTAAAACATGCTGCATTTCCTAATACATCTGTACCAGAGATTTACTGTCTGATTCTAAATGCCACCCCATCATCAAGGTTCTGTAATATATAATAGTAATCTGTTTTATTGTTTAATTATCCCTACAGGCTATTAGCTCTCCTGCAAAGAAGGTGTCATGGTGTAAAGGGGTGAACGCTGGATTTACTGTCAAAGTCTTACTAATACTATTTTGCTATATTCTCACCTAGAGAAAATCATTTCACCTCTCTAAGTCCATTTCTTAATTTATAAAATTGAAGACTACAATACCTGCCTTTGCTGATGTGGCTCATGACAGTGACCATCACAAAAGATCATGGTGGAGGCTTGGCCCAGACCTAGCTCATTTACTTCAAAAGATTGGGAGTTCTCTCTGCAATTTCCTAGTTTTACATTTATTTTTGTGTCAGCTTTGTTTCTAAAGTGTCCTTAAGGGTGGTTTTATATCTGTCCTCTTTGACTGGCAGAACAGGCGGTTCCAGATTTTCTGCTTAGGACGGTCTCAGGGAATGAGAGGGAGGTCTAGGGTCCTTTCCGTAGCTCTTCCCTAGTAAGCATATAGTTTTACTTAGAATGTATTTATCTGCAGCGGCCAAGAATCAAAAGCCAGTGAAAATAACATGGGGACAAAAACCCCTTCTTAAGTTCCCCTTTGAACGTCACCTCTGACTTTAAAAAGATAGACTAAGTGAACTTTCTAAGACATTTCTGGTCCTCTGATTCTACTATTATAGACACATAGTTGCTGATGACCTTCTAGGAACAAGGACAGGATGATTTTTAAGCCCCCTTAAGTCCTGAGCCCTAAAATATAGTCCGTAGGGCCCCCAAGGGAAATATTAACTTAGATGTTCATCATTTCTGTGTGTTCACAGCCATCCGCTTTATGGAACAAGAAGTGGGGGCCAGGGGGTGGGGGAAAGCTCAAAGTGCTCATTGGATTTAGCAGTTATGTTTCCCTTGCTTTAGCTATTTACTGATAATTATTTTGGTTACTTGGGAACAAATCTTATAATCCTAGGCAGGCAAAGACAGATGCAGATGGCTGTGAATTACTTCCAATAAGATCAGAATACGGCAAATGACTTTCAGCCTCTCACTACCATGTAATCAGCACTGAACCTGATTAGGTTACAGAATGACCCTTGGAGAGAGTGATTGCTGAAAAAGCTGAAACTTAAAAGGAGTCAGGAAGAACATAACCAAGGCTCTTTCTGTGAAGAGGGATAGCACATACACCATAACCAAAACCACAGCAATGACCAGTCCAGGGTTAGAAAGCTGTCTCAAGATCTTTGCCATCCAGCTTGGGAAATCATGCTCCAGTGTTTCTCCAATCACTTCAAACATCCTATTTTTGCCACTGGCGGGGGGAAAAAAAAGAAGTTTATTTAAAACATATGGAAAACCGTGGTTACAGCAAGAAAACTAGAAATCTTTTTCAAACACTAAGTGCTCTTTCAGGTTAAGAATCTGATGTTTGGCTAGAACTCCTGATACTTTGACTTCATATTGTCAACATATAGATAAAATGTGAGAAATGTTATCCCATCATAAACACATCATCAAACCAGGTAGGAAATTCGCCATGGAATTAGGGGAAAAAAATTTAAGCTATATTTCTAAGATCTTGATTGAAATATGTTTTATAAATAGCTTCTCAGTCTACTCCTCCTCTAGCTGTCCTCGAAGAACACTCTCTTTGGGGTGAATAAACAGCACACTCAATTTTTTTAATTAGCCTTGGAAAGGAGCCTGAGAAATAGCTTAACGGAATCAAATCCACAAATAATCCAATACATCTTTCCATGCAATAGCTTCTATCTCATTTTCCACCAGAGATATTAATAGGTAACCACACTGAATGATGACTCCCTTCTCTCTCAGTATGTCTTTTGGACAGGTCTTAAAATGTACCAGCTCAGTTCCACTGCTAAGAAAATAAGAAGAGAAAAAAATAAGCCTTGAAAGCAAAGGTCCTAAATGGGTTTGTTCTCAAATCATTAAGACAAGAATTAGCCCCTATAAACTAGAAAAATGAAAGCAGAGGTCTATCTTAACTTAGAATATAATGTTCAAATTATAAAGTAATCTCTATCAGGCTGAATTATTTTTTATAGTTATGTATATTGATTTTACTATGAAAAGATATAATTTTCAGAAAAGATACTAAGTTGTTTATCACCAAGTTTTATGTATTAAATGAACATGACCCACAAGTTCCAGATCATTTTTTTTTTTCCCCATGAACTAACTGATAATATCTTTCAACAGGCTGAGAGTGACTCCAAGTACCTTGTCAGGAGTTGCTGGACTACAGAGGTATAAATTTTGCTTCACAAATTATAAATCTACATACTAATTAGCAAGATCTATGATACATAAGGGGGAATGAAGTTTACAGACAATTTAAGATTATATTGACTATTCCACTAAAGTTTCTTCTTCATACATCCTAACCGATCATCCTTCCCCCCTCCCCCCCCCCCCCCCGCCCCCCGCCACACC